AGATGCACCTCGTGCTCGGACCTCCACGTCCACGAGCCGGGTGCGTGCCCTAGTCTCCTGCAAACAGCAGATGTCGATGCTACATTTGTCGAGCTCGCCAATGAGGTGGTCAATCTTGGCATCCGATGTTAAAGCTCGAACATTGATGGTACCAAAATAGGCGTACAGATAATTGTCGACTGCGAGATTTCTCCCCCTCTGCTTCACCCTCTGTACATGGGATCCGCTGCGCAGGACTGAGGGTACATTATTTTTAGGACCTTTCATAATGTGCTAGTGGCCAGAGACTGCCCACCGCCTAGCCTATCCTGGCGGAGAGCCCCCACTGCCGTATGTAAGGGCCGTCTCTCGGGCCGCCACCCTTTAGCCTACTTCCTGGCGAGGAGTTACGGCTACCCCCTCTTTTGCAACCAGAAAGCGTTTCCGCCCCCACAGCGCGACGAGCTTGGTGACACTGGTGAGGGTAATCCTAGTTGGAAACAGTAAAAGTTTGGATCACAACTCCTGTTCCGTATGCTAGTTCTGGACCGTAGCAATCCTCACAGGCATTAGCGTCATAGCATTAGCGCAGACACATGAAAAACACTAGAAAACCCAGGCATGGCTCCCATGCCATGATTCACCATTGCCATACCCTCTCATTTGCCCTCCGCTCCAATGGACGAAGTCGACGTAGCAATCCACATCGACCCTCTCAAAGAAGCCGTCAGAGATCTCAAAGAGCAACTCGCCTTATTCTTCACCTCACTGGACGGCAAACTGGAAGCTCTTACCGACATTCTCAACCGTCAATTCGACACTCTGATCCGCAGAATCGACGTGGTTCTCGAAAGAACGGCTCCCAAATCGAACTGCGTATTCTGTTGAAGAAAACAATGACTCGCACCCTACTGGACGCTGCTGTCGCTTCCGAGATGCAGTATCTCGTGCGGTCCAAGCTGCGAATTTACGGCTTTGCAACAGATGCCTCCAACCCCGGCATGCCAACAACTGTGGCATCGTCTGCTCGTATTGTGGTCAAGACCACAATGTGCTGTTATGCCCCTACAAATACTCGACTGCTTCGAGTTCATTCAAAAGAAGGAAGATGTAAATCTTCCCCGGCCTGGAGGTTGCACGTTCGCGCAAACGATCAGTGCGACCCTCGGCCCCTCTTTATCCCCTTACCCTCCCCTTCCTGTCGTATTCAACCACTCTCCCCCTCATCCATCTGTTCGCCAGATATTCACTGAGATACTGCAGTTACTTCGCTTCGACGGCCATTCGTCTCATCCAGCTTTCGACTGATTCCTGTGCTATTCCTCGACATGCCATCACTTCGTTCGCCACTTCTGTTTGTGTTCAATGACTCTTCGCTCCATTTTTTTATTTGGTAGATTAATGTTGCTCCATTTATCTGGTCGATTTTATCTGAAGCATTTATTTGGTAGAATATAGTTGATGCATTTATTTGTTGCTACTCTCGTATTCACTCTATGTATTGCTTCTCGTGGCTCCGCGCGGCGGAGTGTCGTGGTAAGCCACGACCTTCCTACTTAACGTGCTGTAGTTAACTTCTCCTGTAGCCCAGAATCTGTAGAATTAGTCACTTCTTCTTACACTAGCATTTGGTGTTGCTTTTTGCGTAGACATCTGCTAGTACTGTAACATCTGGATAGACTGTCACCGTATATAAGGCAAGCAATGTATCATAATTGGAAGAGTCAATAAATCTCTACCACTGAAGCAACCGTAACACATGGTACCATTGAACGAATTGCGGTAAACTCATTTATAGGTCCACTTTCTGAGCTGTTACCTGTTCATGAGTGAAAACCAACGGCCAAAAAAGGGGTCCCGTTTTGCGTTTTTGACGGATTTTTCTGCTTTTTCGAGACTGGCGCCAGTTAGCACCACCACGTCACACTAAACCCTTTTTGAATTTATCGTAATCGCTGCCTTCAAGGAAGTTATGGCTTTGAAAATTGTAAAAACTCACCTTCATCGAGAATTTTTCCACGTTAATCAACCTAAATCGGACATTACGTATTAGGATTTTTGGAATTTCGACTGCTTCGGAAGATCTTTTCAAAAACTTCCAATAGCTTTTCAAAAACTTCCAATAGCTTTCGGATTGAAAATCCGTCCGCCCTGAAGAAAGTTATAGCCATCCACCTATGTGCTCGAATTCGATTAGTAGATAGTGCTCCAAAGTCAGCGCCCAAGATCATTCAGTACGGTGGGGTAGCAGGATTTTTTCGATGAAAGGTTTTCCGGGAGGGTTGAACAACTTTTATACTTTGGCTTGTGCGAGGGTCCTTTCATGGACTTCGGCTGCTTTGAGGGGGTATGGGGTCGTATTTCGGACTTCTCCTCGACGCCTCGCTTGACCCTATTAAGAGGGTACGAGGGGTGCTCAGTAGTACGCCCATAGCGAAAAAAGCAGAGAAGTTCATCAAGAAAACTCAAGATGGACCCCTTATTTGACCTCTAGTAGGACCCGCGAAGGCTAAGACGGCGTACGCATGGATGAATTTATCGCAACGCTTTTGGTGGCACCATGCCAATCCTTGCGCCAGATGAGTTGCTATTTGTCGATGATTCACTTGCTCACTGAAGGAAGTGCCACGCGGCTCTTATTGCTTGATATTGTTTGGCATTGATAGCCAGAATAGATAGAGTACCTACTGTAAAGTAGAATTATTCAGCAGTCTATTGAACAAGTTAAGACAGCAGATGGACGAGGGTGGCGACCCGACTGCTTGACGGTATGAAGTACTGAAGTCCTGAGAGACCTCCGAGCGGCCTTTTATACCCCCATTTTCCCGCTCGTTCAGGATGGTCGATATGTGACCACCCTGATCGCCATGGCCGTCTCCTGCCTGACGTTAGGTTGGTTAATTCACAAACGAATCTGATCGATGAGTGAGGTAGCGATTTCGCTACACTCCGGCCGACGCATGTTGTTCGTGTCTTGCGCGGTCAATTTCTACTTAGATCGCTCTGGTTTTCTGCGTGATGCGGTCCTTTGAGTCGGGTACTCTGCATATAGCTCTGTGGTGTTTTTCTTGTCAATCAGGAAATCGAGGGCTGTATCTTCCACAGCATCGCAATACCCGCACGACTTTTCCTCAGCTCTGCAGTCGTCGGTAGCGTGTCCTCTTCCGAGGCATGAACGGCATCGCATTTCCCTTTGGGCAAACCGGTAGCGCTCTCCACCATCCGTAATCAGTGAGCAGGAGTCTGAAAAACGACGTCCATAGATGCCACAGAAGGTGCACTTGATGAAAACTGGAACATCCACTGGTCCGTTCTCCGATTTTTCTTTGTGGCAGCAGATCGCGTCCCCTGTGTAGTTTATCCAGCTCATTTTCCAAGTCCTCGATATAATTTTGGCGCTCTCTTTCCGCCTGGGGCCTAGGCCATTCTTCTTCTCGCCAATTTTCTTTTTGGGCCATGATGAGCAAGGATAATCTGAAATGGTACATATCTCGAAGATGACATGAGTGCTGTACATGGGTATTGTATGTCCTTGAATTAGATAATATTGCTTTTATATTGTTGGATATATTGAATGGTTGCATTATAAAATGGATTATTTGGCTTTCTGTGCTGAATTTGTGGATATCGAGGAACCCTCTACATGGAATGTGGTGACCGAATTCCAGGCAGCGCTTTCTTGAGTGCTGGTTGTATAGTAGCGTTTGGCATCGTCTCCTTCTCGGTCTTTCGCGGAGAATGATGTAGTCGACTTTTCTGCGATGGCGCAGGCAATACCGTGATTGAGTCTCGACTGTATCGGTATTCGGGACATGTTCTGAATCGTGTTCCTCTAACTCCAAAGGGACCAACAGGTTTATTGGTGGACGAATCAAGCGACGACTTGCTGGACGGACTACTGCATCTCGTGTTATTCCTTTATTGTTCATTACGAGCCTTTCGATGATTCCCGTTTTCCAAGTATGACGGTGCAGTATTGCTTCGCAGACTAGAACCAATTGCCCTTCTCGTGGTGCTTTGCTGCAACCTTTTTTGTTATTCATTGCCGAGGCGTGCTTTTCCCGTATACTTGTGAGGT